CATATGGAGTAAAAATGTCCACAGAAAACTCAAGAGGAAGCCCCTGAAATATCCCGTTCATCAAAGTTATTCAAACTAATGAGTTCCATATCCTGTTTGGAATGTCAGAGGTTAGTTTTACCCCTAAAGAATTAATGAGGCAGAGGTGTTGGTTCCCACTCTATCACCATTTAATTCACCAAGTAGACTCTGCAAAAAAACAAAAGAATATTAGTGAAGCATGGTGGACTGTCCAAGCAGTATCCACAATCACAGCTGTTATTCTGGGTGTGGTGTCTTTACTAAAACAGACCAACTAAGCCTCCAGTTCATGGTATGTGGATTTTGATTTGGGTGCATACGTAATTTTCAGTATTCTTCATGAAAGCATCTGAGGTAGTTTACATCCATCTAGGATGGGCAGCAGTATATATTCACAGTCTTGCTCCAGAGATATGCTAACTTGCCTGCTCTCTGTCATGATAAATCTAAAGACAACTGGCTCATTTGAACATTCCACCATATTGGAATGATGACAGTAAGTTAATAGACCTAATAAGTGAAAAAGTGCTCTGGACAGTCAGCTAAGAGGGTGAAAGGTAACCAGTGACTGGAATATTGGTGAAGTTTTAAGAGTCCAGTGGTTTAGGAAAAGCCAATATCTCTTGCAAGGTAAAGAGTTACTGCACCTTGCACTTCCATTCCTAAATGAATAAAATGAATGAATAAAGCAGAATTTGCTAGACTTCTTTTGGTTTTAAAGGCAGTACGTACTACACTTGGGAGTTTGGTTCTGACTTATATACGGTTCTTATCTAAAAAGTTCCCAGTTTTCAGTGGACCCCAGCCTAAGGCAAAGAAAAGTACTCCATAGCTGAGTCCAACTACTCTCTTCAGAATTCTGAGATTTCCTAGTGATAACAGAGCAATACATATGTTATATGCTTTTTCTTTTCCCAAAGAGTAGAAAACAAACCCTCTATTATTTTCTATTCAAAACCCACAAATATTCCATTAACAGCAAGTGCATAATCCATAGTGATCAATGGACTTATCTCCACCCTGGCTTCATCACATTACAGGCTTCTGACAGCAAGCAATTTTAGAAGGGACCAAGGTCAGTAATGAAAATGAAGAGTTGCGTACATGACTGACTTTGTTACATAAAAGAGAATTTTTTTAAAATGAGAAAAAGAGAAAAATGTCTTCATTACAAATGCAAATATAAAGGGATCAAGTTACTTTCTACCTTTTTTCCTCATTGTTTATGACTGCTCTCATCTATTAATGTAAAAGAGTAGCATATTCTTCAAAGATTTTTCAAGGTATTTAAATTCTAAAAAATGTTTGGTGTTTAAAATCAAGTGCTTTCAAGTAAAGAATATAATAAAATGTGATCTACATATTACATAAATCAAAACATGGCTTAATAAAAAAATCCACATTCATATAGTTAATTTCCCATTGGCAAAGCATTTTCACATATATAATCAATGATTGTCTAATATATCTATAACGGAGAAATAAGTGAATACTGTTATTCCTTTGGAGACTGAAACCACCAAGTACAGAGATTTTCTGCAAAGCCTCAAATAATTTAAAGTGAAGATGTCTCCTGATATACTTTATAAAATGTATTAGGCTCAACTGGTATACCATACAAAATAAGAATTTCTACTCTAATTTATTTGGACATTTTAAAGCATTTATGTGTGTTTATTTTTTAATATGTGTCAAGCTGTAGGCTGGGGCCTGGGGATTTAAAAATGAGTAAATAGTAGGCTCTGCCCTTAAGAACACATACATACACACATGTATATACAAGGAATTATAACATAATACAATATGCTCTTGATATAAGCAAAGTACTTAACCAAATACAAAGTAATGATTAATTCTGAATGATACTATGTAAGACTTTACAGAAAATGTAATATATTTGATGAGACAGTTAAAGGAGGTTGGAAAGATGAGTTCTGGGTGCGAGGAAAGGAAAGTGAAGAAGCAGAGAGAAATCCAGAGAAGCCTAAAAGCTTAGGGTGTTTTAGAGGAAGAGAAGAAGACATTACAACTAAGAAAGAAATGAGTTGTGAAGAGTGGTGGGCAATCGTCTAGGTTTGTATTTTTTTAGGACATTAATTTTACTATAAATACTAGAAATCAAAATGCCCATGATATAAACATAAGACCTATCACATCCTCGCATTTTCAAAGTCTAGCAAATTATATGACACATTTTGTAATATGAAGAAGAAACACTTTTGACAAATTAACATAATATTTAAATGTGTATTGTATTTAATGGCATTTCTGCATTACGCTTCATGTATTACATTTGTTTTACATCTATGCATTTTATTACTTAAGGGATAAACATTTATATGAAGAACATCAATTTTCCGAAAACGCTAGTAGCAGCAGTCAGCATTTACTACTATTCTAAACAATCATTTTCATAACCTCTCTTTAGGGAACTACATTTTAAGAAGAGAAAAAATGGGGGAAAAATAAAAGTAAAGATGGGTGTGGAGAAGTGAAAACTAGTGAGAAATTGCCTGGCGAATATCAATCACCTTCTAGTAGCAAAGTTTAAGTGCAACTAGATCTTAAGCATCCCTTTTATTTACAGCACCTTTTAAGAAGCTATATGAGAGCAGAGAGCTTACTAGTAAACTACAAGTTTGACACTCCCATACAATACAAGAATTTTCACCTCACTACCCATACATAATAGCAACAATATAACATCTGTAAACATCCTTTGTAAGCTGTAAAGTTCTTTTCATATTCAAAAACAATAACACTTGCTTACTGAATAATTAAGACAATTAATTTTTAATAATTAAACAGGAATTATCCAATAACTATTAAAGGGTATTCCAAGTGCTTATCCTGTGTCAAGCACTGTGATAAATGCTCTGTATGCATTCTCTTATTTAATTCTTTCAACCACCCATGGGAGATAAGTAGTTTCCTCAATTTACAACTGAAGCAACTAACCTAGAAAGACAATCTGAGCTGACCAAGGAAATAAAGGAAAGTAACATAGAAACAGTAATATACAGATAACATAAAGAAGACCTGAATAGAGACAGTACTATTATCAAAGACCCAGATAATAAACATAAGAATCAAACAATCATAACAAAAACAAATAGCTCAATATATAAATGGACAAAGATTTGAATACACACTTCACCAAAATATGTGGTTGACAGAAGGCAGGTGCAAACATACTTAGCATCAGTAATCATTATGGAGATGCAAATTAAGAACACATTGAAACACCAGCACACACATTCATTAGAAATTTTTAAATTTTAATTAAAATTAAATGACTGACAATACCATGTGTAAACATAAAATGTGAAGGAACTTGAACTCTTACAGTCTGCAGATGGGAATGTAAAATGGCATAATCACCTTGGAAAACAGTTTGGAAATTTCTTTAAAAATTAAACATATACCTATCATGTAATCCAGCTTTTCCTACAAGGTATTTTATCAAGAGAAATGAGAGCATCTGACCACAGAAAGACTAGTACAAGAATGTCTATAACAGCTTCATTTTAATAGCCAAAAACTATAACAACCAAAATGTCCATCATCAGATGAAAGGATAAACAAATTATGGTATATCCATACAATGGAATACTACTCAGCAATAAAAGGAACTACTGAAACAAGCTACAGTATAGATGGATCCTAAAATAATTATGGTGACTAAAAGAAAGCAGGTACAAAGGAACACATACCGTTGACTCTATTTACATGAACTATATGCATCTGCAGTTTATTGTATGTCAATTATATATCTCTATATAAAGCTGTTTTTGTATGTTTATATTCACTTTCGTGTGTCTGTAATACACGTTTTTCATTTTTTAAAACCTCTGAGTATTACCATCAACATTTTAACAATAGTAATCTCTGGGCAGAAGACGAATTAGGGTTGTTTTGAATTTTCTTCTGTGTGCTCACCCTTATTTTTTCAGTACCCCACAAAAATTACATAAATACTATTTTAACACTAAATGCTATTTAAAGTTTAATTTTTAAAGAGCCATTTTTACAAGGATATAATCTCTGCATTAACAAAAGATAGGAAAGTACATATTTTGAGTTCAGAGGCATTTTATTCCTCCTAGGGTTTCTACGGTATCTCTTTTTTTTTTTTTTTTTTTTTGAGACGGAGACTTGCTCTGTCGCCCAGGCTGGAGTGCAGTGTCCCGATCTTGGCTCACTGCAAGCTCCGCCTCCCGGGTTCACGCCACTCTCCTGCCTCAGCCTCCCGAGTAGCTGGGACTACAGGCGCCCGCCTCCACGCTCGGCTAATTTTTTGTATTTTTAGTGAAGACAGGGTTTCACCATGTTAGCCAGGATGGTCTTGATCTCCTGACCCAGTGATCCGCCCGCCTTGGCCTCCCAAAGTGCTAAGATTACAGGCGTTAGCCACAGCGCCCGTCCTATGGTATCTCATTTCTTTACAATGAAGATACATTTTATATTTAAAAATAAACTATGCATGTATTTTAAAAGAAACAGTCTTAAAAATGTGCCCACTATGCTGGCAATTGTTTCCATACTTACATGTTAAGCAATCAGTTAATTTATGTACACTTGCTTTGGATGTGGACTCACAGGTAAATGGTGACTTTTGGTTCACCCTTTTCACTGTGTTGCCCATCCAACTCTTGGTCCTTATGAAAAGGTCAGAGAAGAAGGGGGAGTACAGCTTGGTCCCTTCTTTGGGAAGTCCCAGTGCCTACTCTCCTGACAGCCTTTTTCAAGCAGGTGAAATCAGTGACAATCGCCAAAGAGCAGAAATCTCGTGTCGACGGTGGGGGCGAATGTTCACGGAATCGTGACTGGGCATCCGCGCTCGCCTCCGCCTGGGCGGCGCCCCACGCAAGTCCCCAGCGACCCCGGCGGCGCTTCCCCGGCGCCCTCCGCGTGGAACCCTGCGCCTCTGGCAGAGAAGGGGCGTGTGACGCAGTCGCCGTTGCCTAGGGCCACATTCTGATCGGATCTGACGCTTCCAGATCATCGGATCTGAGGCCCGAGAGGGCCGGGCCTCAGTTTCCCCACTTCCAAGGAGGCGGCGCTATGCTGTCCTGTTTCAGGCTCCTCTCCAGGCACATCAGCCCTTCGCTGGCGTCTCTGCGCCCCGTACGCCGCTGCTTCGCGCTTCCGCTGCGTTGGGCCCCGGGGCGCCGCCCCTCGGATCCCAGGCCGATCGCCCCCCGCCGCACCCTGACCGCAGCCGCATCCTCCGGGGACCCTACCTGTCCCGCAGCCGGCTCCTCTCGGGTGCGCCAGAACTTCCACCCCGACTCTGAGGCTGCCATCAACCGCCAGATCAACCTCGAGCTCTATGCGTCCTACGTGTACTTGTCCATGGCCTATTACTTCTCCCGGGATGACGTGGCCTTGAACAACTTCGCCAGGTATTTCCTTCACCAGTCCCGAGAGGAGACAGAGCACGCGGAGAAGCTGATGAGGCTGCAGAACCAGCGAGGAGGCCGGATCTGCCTGCAGGACATCAAGAAGCCGGACCAGGACGACTGGAAAAGCGGGCTGCATGCCATGGAGTGTGCTCTACTCTTGGAAAAGAATGTGAACCAGTCGTTGCTGGAATTGCACACTCTAGCCTCTGACAAAGGTGACCCCCATTTGTGCGACTTCCTGGAAACCTACTACCTGAATGAGCAGGTGAAGTCTATCAAAGAACTAGGTGACCACGTGCACAACTTAGTGAAGCTGGGGGCCCCGGATGCTGGCCTGGCGGAGTACCTTTTTGACATACATTCCCTTGGAAATGAAAACAAGCAGAACTAAGCAACGGGCTGCCTTCCTCCCACGTCATTGGGTTCAAAGACCAGAGTCAGCTGTCTCCTGCTTTCTTGCCCTTAAAATCACCTCCATCTTTATATTTTTCTGTTATACTATTCTTGCAATAAAGTGATTTGTAGAAAAAAAAAGTTTTGCCCATGTTTAACAAGGACTTTTTATTAACCATCAAGACACTTATTTTCCCAGCTCGAAGAATAGCCCAGATAACTATGGTATGAAAAGGACTCCAAAAAGCTACTGAAAGAGGGTGCAAACTAACGTTCTCCAGTTGCCAAGTATTATCAGAATATGAACCTACACTTAAATTCTGTGATTTTTAATTCAACAAGTGCCTGCTATATTCAATGCCTTATGCAAAACGCTAAAGTGGGAAAATGGATAAAAATATACAAATAACTATAAGTGAAGAATATTTAGTACTGTGAAAATCATACATGCAAAATGCTATGACAGCTTTTGCCTTTTCCCATGGTGTCCCAAGAAGCAGTACAGTCTGGAGATTGTTTTTTAAAAGAATTCATAGTCAAATTTGGGATAAGCTACATGAATTATCAGTGCTGGTCTTGGAAAATCACAGCATATATTAACATTTTAAGGGCTCTGGGACATTTTGCAATTAAACAATAAATATAAAAGCTTGAATTATTTTTGTTTAGCTCAGTGTTTTCCAAACATATGCAATCTCAGTGTTTTGTTCTTTTAATGTCAGTAGTATAACAAACTAGATCTGATTCCACACTCCATATACTTCACCACTGAGTCTCTCGTTTAACCTGCCAAGAAGAGTGAAAACACTGCATAAAACACCTTTCTGTGGTCTTTACAATGGACAGAAAAGAACATGGGGGTTAAACAAAAGTCAAGAAGGGATCCAGAATAAAGGAGGCATCTAGTCAGATGTTTCCTTTAGTCATGGAAGTGAGGAGGGGAGAGTCCAGCATTGGAATAGACTAGAACACTGAGTGGTGATTGGAAAGATGGGCTGGGGCAGAGTATAGAGGTGAGAAGGGTTTGGGCTTAACTCAGGGGACAAAGGCAAGGACTTCAAAGGCTCTCAACAGAAGAAAACAGTGCTCAAAGTTGAGCAATCTGAAGCTTAGTCTGGTTATACAGAGTAAGAATCTGAAAACAACCGAAATATCCCTGTTAGTTTGGGTTTTCTGAGACACAGATGCCAAAATGGGATTATGTGTACAAGAAATTAGGGGAACAGACCTCTGAGAGAAAATGGAAAAGGAGCAAGTGGGAGAAGCAGGGAGAGCCTTCAGACTTCATGCAAATGTAATCCCCGGGGGATGAAGAAGGGAAGTTGTGCATATTTCTTTGGAAAGGTCTGCAAGACTGTCAGGGAGGCCTCAAGTCAAAGTCACTAGTCAAAGGAATCCCAAGTCTCCCAGAAATGAGCCTAAGTACCTTTCCTGTATTTAGGTATTGACTGGGAGGTATAGACTTGCAGGAAACCAAGTAATGAATCAATTTCAGAGAACGGCAGCTGAGGCTCTTGGCAAATTGTGCTCCCTGCAGTCAAAAACCTGAGAGGTACTTGCATATTATGGCACAAGTTCAACAAAATGACTTAGATTAAAACACCAAACAGTGTTTTAGATTAATACACATAATATTCTGTATTGTTAAATATGATTTTGTACAAACACCTTATGGTGTGTATAGAAATTCTGAATGTATTATGTTAAAAATGAGGAATATTACACGATGGGGTTATATAATTCTATATGTACAATTGTAAGACAAATTATATTATATATGCATATAAGATGACAAAGTATATATACCAACAAGCAAAGCTAGAAAATTCTTTTAAATAGTGAGATTGTGGTTGATATTTACTTTCTTTAATTACATGTCTTTTAAAAATACATTTGTTATAATGGACAGTCATTATTATAATAAGACAAGAAAAGCAAAATATAAGATGGAGGGAAAAGCAATAAAGGCCAGAATTATGGTAAAACCAATGGAAAGACAAACAAAGAGATTCTGGTGAGAGTTTAGAGGCAGAATCATTTCAATTTTGTGACCAATTTAATGACTGGAGCTAAAGAAATGAGGTATGGGAGAAAAAGTGATAGGTCTGAAATTCGAGTTATTAAAGAATAGGAGATTTGAGAATAGAGATCTCAGCAGGAGGGATAATTGGAGGTGGGGGAATGCATAATACTTTTGGTTGATTTTGTTGATCATTCTCACTTTACATTCTATTCTTAAGTGGGTCTATTTTGCTGCTCAGGAATCCTGTTATATTTCTATGCAAAATCTCTTCAAGTTTTCCAGATGAGTGGTTTTCAAACTATACCTTGCAGCCCATTAGTGTGTCACAAAATTATTTACTGAGTCACTATCCATGTTTTGTGAATAAAATAGAGTAGAATTGAAGTGACAGTAAGTGAAGTAAGGGTATTGTTTCCTGAAACTCTTGTTTCAGGTGGGGTGTGTGTGTGTGTGTGTTCTCATGTATTTACATCCTGGATAGTGATATTTCTTATTCTGTGTTTCTGTCAAAAACTTTCAATAGCTGCTCTCCTAGATAATTATTTTACAGATTCTCTTTTCTCCTCAAATCTCCAAATCTCCTCTCCCTCCCTACTGTCAGTTGGTAATCCGCTTATTTCACTGAGAAATTAGAAGTACTAAAAGAGAACTTCACACTTTTTCATCATTGAATTAATCATAAGCTTACATCTGTGTTCACTTAGATTTTGTTCTGCTAGAATGGTTGTTGCATCAGTGTTGCCTCCTTAAAACCAATGCCCTCAATCCTAACCTCCCCACATAGGCAAAGACACAAGGATATCACACCTATGGTTTTCCTCTCTCTTGCAGCAGCTTTGCCCTCTTTATCACTTGGTCCCATGAGAATGCAAACACTGTATTATTTCTCCTCGTCCTTAAAAAAATGTCACTTCTGGACTCACATTCCATCCAGCAAACACCAGGCTACTCCTCTTTACTCATCTCCCTTGTACAACAAAACTTCTTGAAAAAGTTCTTCCTGTCTCCACCTTTTATTCTGCTTTCTCTTGATCCCTCCCAAGGAAGCCTGTGTCCACTACTACACTATTTATTTCCTGTCAATAAAAATAGTGACTTTCATGTTAATAAACTCAATGGTCAATTTCCCAGTCTTCCTAGAAGTACTTGTCCATTCTCTGTTGAAACATGTGCTTACTGTTCTGTATTTCAGTTGCTCTTTCTAATCTCTTCCCATCTCTCTGACCTTTAAAGCTTGGAGCATCCCAGAGCTCAGTCCTCACATCTGGACTTCTTCTCTTCTTTATCTATACTTGTTCCTTAAAGATCTCATCCTGTCTGGGGACTTTTATTTAAATATATATTCATTAACAAATCACATGTTTTAGTTTGCTTCAGCTCATCTTTGAACTCCAAACCTACATATCTAAATACCTAATCAATATTTCCCCTCAGATGCCTAATAGACATTTCATATTTAGTATGTTCACAGCCATACTCTTTATTTCACCACCCTCCAAAACCTGTTCAACCCTGTCTTTTGCTTCGTAATGAATGGAAACTCCAATCTACCAGTTTCTATGTTTCAGTCATCCTTGACTACTCTCTTTCATATGAAAGTCAGGTCTTTCAGCAAGTTCCTTTAGGTCTTCCTCTAAAATAGATCCAGAATCTTACCACTTTTTAAAGCCTTCATCATTGCCACTTCTGTACGAGCTCTCACCTTTTTTTCCATTATTATATTTTATGTAACACTCTTTGTTTTTGTTTAATTTAGTCTTCCCTGCAATGCAAATATGTCATACTTTTTACAGATCTAACTGCTTTCACACCTAGGAACATTCTGTCATTTCTTTACAAAGCAGCCAAAGTGTTCCTTTGCAAGTGTAAGTCATTTATTGTTATTTCTTTGCTCAAAACTCTCCTATACCTTATTTAATTTGGAGAAAATGTCAAGATCAAGATCCTTACTATAGTCCACAAGGTGCTTTGTGATATGAGACCGTAAAATCTTTTTGACCTGATATTTCTATATGTACTCCGTGTGTGTGCGTGTATGTGTGTATGTGTGTTTAAGAGGTGGTAAGATTATATTATTCAATATGCATACAATAATATATACTATATGCAATATATATAATATATACTATGTACAATATACATATACTAATATATGTATACAACATAATACTGTGTGTATATTGTTTGTATACACATGTATATTGTATGTACTCTATGTATGTTGTATATATATTGACCTCACTATTCATATGTATATGAATATATGAATATGATACCTTTTTGATCTTAACATTCATATAGATATATGAATAGTTAGGTCAAGATATATCATTATAACTCTTTCCCCAGGCCTTTCTCTCTTTCTCCCCACTCCCTCTCTCTCAATCTCTCTCGATATCGAGGGCATCTACGTTGTTTCTCTATATTGAGAGAGAGAGAGAGAACAGGAGAGAGCATGTCTTCTGCTTGCTTTACTCCCATCACATTTGTCCCCAGGACCTCAGGTTGTTCTCTGTGTAAGAATATTTCGCCCCCAAACATGAACGTGGTTTTCATTCTAACTTCCTTTGAATTTCCGATTAAGTGTCATCGTATAGAGAGACTTCACTGATTATCAGTCTAAATTTGTGACTACATTTCCCATCACTCTGTATCTTCTTACTTGATTTGCTTTTTCTCCATAGCACTTACCACCACTGGACATCTTTTGTATTTACTTGTTTCCTTCTCTCACTAGAGTGTAAGTTCTGCAGAGCAGGGTCTTTGTTCTGTTCACTACTCTTTTCATAGCTCCAGAGTAGTAGCTATCTCTTAGTAGGTTCACGATAAATATAAATGAATGAATGAGTGAGTGAGTGAATGAATAAAGATATCTAGAAACCAGCTGGAAGTGCTGATATGGGTCTTTCAAAAAGTATCAGAGAAATGAATCTGGAGGTTACTCATATAAAGTTGTTAAGTAAAACTGTGAAAAAGCTGAACTGACAAAGGAAACAGGAGACAAAAGAGAAACAGAGGAGAGGGGTCCAAATATAGAAACATAGAAAGTTGAATATCTCCAGATTTAGGGGAGATTCAATAAAGAACTCATGAAAGGATACAGAAAAGGGAACACTGGACTTGGAAGCTATAGATGACAGAACTTCTATCAAATGCTGCAGAGCTTAATTGGATTACGGATTCATAGGAATTGGCCATAATAAGTCATTGATTATTTTAGAAGAGGGACTTTAAGAGTGGTGGTAAAATAAATGAGGAGGAGAACATAGAATTCTCCTTTGAGTTTTTTTTTTTTTCAAATAATTGAAGGGGAAAGAGGGTAAGGATGGCTGTGCACATTATTAGGCTAAGGAAATAAGCCAACAAAAGGGAGAAACATGAGCGGCAAGTGATAGATAGAGAGGTTCCGTGGAAGAACAGAGCACAAGATAAAAAGCTTAGGTGCAACCTAGAAGAACATGTCATTCCAAACTAGCCTGCATGAACGAGGGAGGAAGTGACGGGTTTTAAATGAGAAAAGGGCACATTTAGGGTGCTTACATAGGTTGAGCTCAAACTTCTAAATAAAGTATCAAATTAAATAATTGACTAAGATATGGCTATCTCTATACAGAAATATTTCAATTTTATGT